TGTTTCTGGTCAACAGTACTCCTAAGAACGTCACATAAATTCGTTATTTTCCAAAACGTAAGACAAATCTTCTAGATATTGTAAACACCTAGTTAACATGAATTATATTACTTGACAAGACCTACAAAAATGATACAATGATCTTTATAATGTTATGACTCATTTTGTGATTAACGATCGAGTGAAATAATAATGTTTTTTACGTGGTACTTTGAATTATGTCATTATAAAAGCCTGTTTGTCTTTAAATACAATTTTAAAATTTCATGATTATTTATTATTTACTTAGGGATTTATCTATATCAAAGGGTGATCTCAAGTTCAAGTTTTTCAGATTATTTTATTACAATAAACAGCTTAATACTTCACAATGTTCAAAATACGTAATTACTTTCACAATGACGAATGTAAAATAATCGTTACATATACGTTATAACATTCTAATAAAGCCTCTTTAAATGTGTACAAGATTGCTTTGGTGAATAGATTGGACCTGTGTTAGAAACAAAGCAAAATTCAAAGTTTTAGTAAAACATTTTAAAGTGGCAGGTGTTAGGAAACGTTAGAACGTTTTACCTGAACTACTTAGTATTGGATTATTTTACAGTTATCTATTATAGCAGTTATCGATTTATATTGACTGCCGAGGCACTGAGTACTCAAATAATAAGATTATTTTATGGTTACCTCGGCAGTCAATATAAATCGATAACTGCTATAATAGACACTGAGTACTCAAATAACAGAAGACTTAACTTGGATCTGCGCAATATTTTGCCAGAACCTTTTAGATATGTCAACATTATATAATGTGATCTTTTTTGGTTTCGGCACAACTAAAAAGTTGTCTGAGCGCCTGAAATATTCAGAAGTCCAATAATCACGAACGCAGATATTTTGTCTGTTCTGTACTACTTGGAGATTATTAACAATACGCAATATTGTTTTTTTTTATTTACTTACCCTCTATCAGATATATACCTTAGGAAGAAATATAGTAAGAATTTCATCAGCTAGTCTTTTCCCAGGCTTACTGATTAAAGAAGAGGAAATATCTCATTCTCTTAACACTCACCCAATTCATCCTCACAACACTAACACCTTTCTACTCCAGTGTTACCACTCTCTGGTGTTCAACACCCTTATGTCGAAAGCCCTTCATGTTGCTTGTTGGTTTGTTTACCGTCTCTAATTTTGAACTGCCAATCAGAAGTAAGGCAAATGGCCGGCACCACCCACTGGGAACTCTTGGGCTACACCTTACCAACGACTAGTGGGATTCACCGTCACTTTATAACGCCCCCATGATAGAAAGAGCAAGCAGTTTCGATTCAACCCCATAAGCTGCTGATTGCACATCGTAGCAGGTCAAAGATGTCTATGTCTGTGAACAAATCTGCTCAGAGAGTCCAGTCTCTTTTTTATCCATCTTTTTTCCTTGTGTACTAAAGTTCACATTGTCCAATTTCCATGAAGCAAGCCCATCAAGGTGTCAAATGTCATCTTTATTACTCCGTTAGATAGCAATTAAAAATATATTCCTAAAATTAGTTAAAAGTTCTTTTTTTAACGTCACTCATGTCGGTTACTAGACCTGTTTTTCTCAGCCTCATGTGGGTTTAACGGTAAATTACATACGGGTATAGTTTAACTAATTTTCATAGAAGCACTTAAATACTTAAACTCATCAAGCCGACTGAGTTAAATCACAAAACCTTCCTTGAATAGATATATATGTTATTGTATGTTGTATATGTATCAATGTATTTAGCCGTAAAATTAAAGTTAAAAAGGGGTAATTACCCGTTGTACTTATTACTATGCTTTTTCAAAGTCAAAATAGAAAGTTTTAGAATACCATTTTCAAGTCACTAAAAGCAATTGATAGTTAATTATTAATGGGCGTGTAATACTCTATAAAATTTAAATTTCTGCCATATAATATTCAGAATCACGACTATGAGCCCTGCTCATTGATTAACATTATAATAAACAATGGAATTCAATGCAGTTATCAGATTACAGGTTCTCATTGTTCAACTTCATAATAAACAATGAAACCCAATAAGTTATCAGATGACGGGTTCTCATTGTTCAACTTCATAATAAACAATAAAACTCAATAAAGCTATCAGATGACGGGTTGCCGTTGTTTAACTTTATAATAAACAATGAAACTCAATAAAGCTATCAGATGACGGGTTCCTATAGTTTAACATCTTAATAAACAATAAAACTCAATAAAGCTATCAGATGACGGGTTCCTATAGTTTAACATCTTAATAAACAATAAAACTCAATAAAGCTATCAGATGACGGGTTCCTATAGTTTAACATCTTAATAAACAATAAAACTCAATAAAGCTATCAGATGACGGGTTGACGTTGTTTAACTTTATAATAAACAATGACACTCAATACAGTTATCAGATGACGGGCACTACCAAAAACTATTTATTGAACGTGATTAAATATGTAACTTTTGTTTCTTGTTGCGCTTGACAAAAAAAAAAAAGAAATTATAAGCATATTACAAAACGAATATGATTCAATTTTCCCCTAAACTTTATATTCACCCCACGAAGTAGTGGCCTCTATTCATTTGTTACTAGTGTCAACATTGGTATAAACATGTTAATTGCTAATTCTAAATGTTCATTTGATGAAAAAAAGTGTTTGTCGGCTACCGTTTTTCATGAAAACTAAAATTATGTTTCTATCTGGACATTTGTGGTTACAATGAGTAAATTACGAACATTACGCAAATTCAATAGGCATAAACATCCCTAAGTCTGCTTTTCAGGTCTGGTGTTGCAATGTTGTAACTATGAAAACTATGTGAAATATATATATATAGTTTTAATACATATTATCCTTTTATTAATGACCTCTCACTAATAACACAGAGGTATTAAAATATCGTAAATCTAACATGTCTTGGTATTAAAATATCGTAAATCTAACATGTCTCACTATTTTAATACCAAGACATGTTAGATTTACGATATTTTAATACCAAGACATGTTAGATTTACGATATTTTAGTACCAGGCCATGTAAGATTTACAATATTTTAATACCAAGACATGTTAGATTTACGATATTTTAATACCAAGACATGTTAGATTTACGATATTTTAATACCAAGACATGTTAGATTTACGATATTTTAATACCTCTGTGTTATTATTGTAAATCTAACATGTCTTGGTATTAAAATATCGTAAATCTAACATGTCTTGGTATTAAAATATTGAAAATCTTACATGGCCTGGTACTAAAATATCGTAAGTCTAACATGGCCTGGTATTAAAATATCGTAAATCTAGCATGTCTTGGTATTAAAATATTGTAAATCTTACATGGCCTGGTATTAAAATATCGTAAATCTTACATGGCCTGGTATTAAAATATTGTAAATCTTACATGGCCTGGTATTAAAATATTGTAAGTCTAACATGGCCTGGTATTAAAATATCGTAAATCTAACATGTCTTGGTATTAAAATATTGTAAATCTTACATGGCCTGGTATTAAAATATCGTAAATCTAACATGTCTTGGTATTAAAATATTGTAAGTCTTACATGGCCTGGTATTAAAATATCGTAAATCTAACATGTCTTGGTATTAAAATATTGTAAGTCTAACATGGCCTGGTATTAAAATATCGTAAATCTAACATGTCTTGGTATTAAAATATTGTAAATCTTACATGGCCTGGTATTAAAATATCGCAAATCTTACATGGCCTGGTATTAAAATATCGTAAGTATAACATGGCCTGGTATTAAAATATCATAAGTCTAACATGACCTGGTATTTAAGGTGCTCGATTCGCTACTTGCGGTCCGAAACTCGTCACCGAACATGCTCGCCCTTTCAACCGTTTGTAAAGAGTAACCTAAGAGTTGGTGGTGGGTGGTGTTGACAAGCTACTTTCCCTCTAGTCTATCTTTCAAAATTATGGACGGCTATAGCGCAGATAGTCAGCGAGTAGCTTTACTCGAAATTCAACTACCAAACAACTATATCATAATCAGATGAACGTTTTAGAAAATTAATAAACTACCATTAATTGAACATACAAGTCTTAAGTTTCAAAATACACTCACATGGCAAATCATACTGGTTATGAATTCTAGATATATATATGCATGCTAGAATTATAAGTTTTATGTTTAAGGCCCTTAATACTTACATCTTATGAAGCCCCCTGGTGGCTCAGCGGGTGTTTCAATCCCCGCGGTGGGTAGAACACAGATAGCTCATTGTGTAACTTTGTGCTTAATAACAATTAAATCATTTTATAAAAAAATACACCATATAATAATTAAGGCCTAACTTATATCTGTGAGCAGGCTGAACCATCTGTAGTGTAACTGATATTACAACTGAACACTGTGTTAAATGTTTAACAGATTCCTGCAAAATGGTTCTGCAAATGTTATTGAATGAAATTTTCTTAACTGTATATCATTAAATATTAAGAATAATGAATTTATAAATTTAATTACGTAAAAATTATAATATCGCTCTTTATAGCGAACTAATTGTATTAAGTTGTCAGTTGAAAAATCCCCAATTAAATTGTAACCCAACATGATATAATTCTCCAGATTGGCGTCTAATGTGTCTTGTTTTTTTTTGTAACTTCAAACTGTTTATTTTTTATTCATTTTTGCTAGTGAGTGATTATTACTGCGACTTCATGAACACTTACAAGTGTATTCGTATTTCCTGTACTGCTGAACTGTGTGTATCTTAATAGCTAACGAATGGTATTTCACGTGTTTTGTAAGTAATGACCTATTCCTTATAATGAGTTTCGTTAGTTTTGATGGTTATAATGTTTGAAATAATTTTGAACGGTTTGAATTAATGGTTGCACTAATGAAATTTATTTTGTATTGTTGGTTTAGTATATTGATTTAACACTAACTTAAATATCTTATACCAATATAATTTACTACTTACTCCAATCTATATTGGAACGGGAAGGCTATTGCTCTGATGAAATCAAACGTGGCTGAATTGTTTTCAGTTACATTCCTCTTAATTATTCCTTTATTGATATCTAATCAGAAGTGTCTTATAATAGTTTTCAGGTTCATCTTTACTCAGGAGGCTTTTCGTTCAGTACCAGACTTCTTCAGATAGGCTGAACATTCGGTAGACAAAATGTTTTTATGTGCAATACAACACATTCAATGCAGTAGTGTACAACGTCTAACAGGGAAACATCACATATCTGTTTAGGATACGTTTCGTTCAACATCTGAAAATATTAGATGGGTTGGTTTCATTATTTGTGGCGGACAACGGATGAGTGAGTAATGATTTTGTACTTCACGGAACAGAAATCCGCAAAGAACTAATTAAGAAGAGAAAAAAAACAAATCTTGAGTGAAGTATGATTTTAAAACTTCTGTTAAATCAAAAACGTTCAAAGCTTCGCCAGGGGAAAATAATAATAATTGATTTAAAAAAACATTCAAATTCAGTTTTCTTTACATCTTAACTGTCTTCGATAAACGTACAAATAAATAAAAAGTCGCAATGAGACGCAAAGCTTTTAGTTTGTGCATTTTCTCGTTAACTTGTGACAACCACAAACTTTAACAATTTTCATAAACAATCAACTAGATCGTTTAGGCTCAGGGGTTTTTCTAAACTTTTTTTTTTTTACACCTCTTGATTTGTTTTGTTTGGTTATTGTTAAGTGCAAGGCTACGCAATGATTTATCTGTGCTCTAACCACTGCGGGTATCCAATCCTAATCTTTAGCGTTATAAGCCCTCAGACTGACCACCGAGCTATACCTCTGAGAATCCTACTGTTCTCATTGTTATAAGAGAAAGTAACTTTATTTTATTTTGTCATGGTGTTCGGTGTTTTCAACGGAAACTGTTTGAATTGGCTATGAATTAGTTTGTACTTTATAAACCTTTTTGTAACAGCAATGAAAAATATACTACTATTAGCACACGTAAGATACTCTCTAGGTTATTCAAACTGAATCAGAACGTTTCATTGCGTACAAAGCTGACAACAGTCTTCAGAAACATAAAACTATTTGATATTAACCATACCGTTTAAAGTTTACGCTTCAAATTCTTACTTTTCTTAGTCTAAGGATGAGATTCATTTGAAAAATGTAGAATCAAAGTACAATATAATTGTAATTAGGCCAGAAATACTGGTTTCGCGAAGTAGGCTACCTATACTAAGAGGTGATGGTTGATTTGTTTCCAAAGGTGTAATTTTTTTTACATTGATCAGCATGTATTTGGATCTTGGATGTGTAATTGTTCCAGAGATAGGTTTCAATCCCTAAGATGGTTATAATGTGTTATAACTTCTTGTTGACTTTTTCCGGACAATGTATTTCTTTTGTTCATTTTTAAAAGCTCCATTTAATCGCTTAATTTTTCTTAATTCTCAAACATCCTTCAGCTATATAGCTAGTGCGTCCTTTACTAGTATTTCATGTTATTTTACTTGATTTTTGGGCTATATTGTTTTAGTTGTTTTCAAATGTTAATAAGTTAGAATAGTGAATATATATATATATATAACATTATTCTAGGTCAACTAAAATCATGCTTATCTCCATTACTGTTAAAGGAATGTAAGGAAACTTGGATGTGTTATAGATTGACTGACGCGGATTTATGGATTTACGTAAAAATGATGCAAACATACCCTCTTTTTCTATTACGTAAGACTGGTAAGAACTTACTTTCTTCTCGATTCTTCCATGAGCTAGAATGAATCATGACACACAGTAATGTGTCGTGCAGCCAAAACTATCTGCAGAACATACTGTGCGTTATCAACAGGAATGATAGTTTAGCAGTTTTCCATGTTCTATAGCCCAGTTTGTGGTAACCCAAACTACCACATATTTTCAGTGGGTTTGCTCTACTGGACTCTTACTTCACATACCAAATTTCAAGGCAATCCATTAAGAAATACACGAGATATAACAGTTTTGATTGAGTTTCTTCCTATTTTTTTCTTCGCACCGAAAGTACGGAAACTTTATTTGATAGAAAAACATACTAAACTTTCATGGATTTTTTTGAAGTTGTGCAAACAGATAGATCTTTACAACCTACAATTAGGCGTAAAATTTGGTCTAAGTATAAGCGACATGTGCAAAGGTATTCAACAAAAACCGCTCAATTTTAACCAAAATTTTACGCATGCCTACGCAAAAGTCACGTGAGCTATCGGTCTCACATTTTTACTACAGCTTCACTTAAGAGTGAAGGCGGACCGTTATTAGTTTTTGCCATTCGAGCTAAAAACGGCTGATTTAGAGCAGCAAAACTATAGGGTGAAAGTACGTGCAGATACATAAGTATTGGCTAGGCCAAGCAAACTAGATTAGTAGTTTCTATCTCAAGAATCATACGGGTGGACGGTTATTATTCATTATTCATTGCCAACTTCGTGCTAAATTTCATGAAAATAAAATTCTCTTAATTAAACAGCGTTTCGCGTCACGTGATATTAGCGTAAATAATGATGCTTGATACGGTTGTACCGAGTGCATATGGGTGATGAGAAGAAACCGTTAATCTAATAATGGCTGGAGACGGCTTGAATAGGTAATGATGAAAAACTTTAATGTAAGTTTAACATAACAGCAAATGTACAACGTTTCGACAAGGTTTTGTCATCATCAGGTACAAGTACTTTACACTGACACTGATATATATATATATATACAGTATGGAACAAAGAAGTCACATGACCGGAACTGTTGT